ATAGAATGAAGTGATTTCTATTGTGATTCTCTTTATTTGCAATATTAATCAAAATATTATCAATCATTAATTTTATATATTGCTAATTTACAGCATATTATTATGCATGGATGTTACTCCTATTACTTTTATGTTGAGCCTTGATAAACTCATTGCTGTGCCTTTTCATGTGTGCATCATCGCTCTTGCTCGCTCTCACTCCGCTTATTCATTGCAATTCATAGCCAACGCGTTTCAGTTCCCATATCGCTGACAACTGATGTGTACATGATTACTAGTAGTAGACCTGGGTATGTTTGGATAAAGTAGAGTACCAAAGTTCCAAGGTTATCTGTTCAGTGGTCAATCCCGCGGCATTATTATTTAGTGGAAGAAATTGCAAGCAGCTAACACTTGTAGAAAAAATTTACCCTTTGTTTTCTCTGTAACACTTTCCGTTGACATCTATGGTGGCCGCGCCTTGAACCCGTGTCTTGTTAGGACAAGGGTATTTAGGCCGAGTACCACACCTTCCTCCCCCTCAAATACATGAGCGCCGATGCAGCTACCTTGTTATTGCAAAACCGCGAACTAGGGAGCATAGCATGCAGCATATAGCTCCTCGGCATTCGACCAGGCTACCCGACGACGCTACGCGACTGCTCTCTATATCCACGTGCAGCTCAAGTTCCCCTAACCACATCCTCCCCTTGCCTTATTCCCAGGTTCGTTTGCTATTTATTCCGTATGTTGTCATTCTAGTTCCAACTAAATCAGTTTATTACAGTTGTCATTTGTGAGTTCTTGCAATATGCATTCTTTCACCACTCAGGATATCCTCTTCACATTCTCCCATAGACTTTCGCAGCAACTCAACTGTCATTCAGTTCGATCCAAACTTGCCTTCACAGCTTGCCTTCCTTCTCAGCTTCCGCCATTTGTGTACGTCACATATCGTGAAACTCCATGGGCTCATCTCGTTGACCACATGTCTTGCCTCATGTTTGAATGCTTTAGCATTATGTCTCATTTTGCTTTTATTACTGATGGGCCTGTATCTGGGTAGTTACTATGAAGTTTCATAGTATTTGGGTAATTTGAGATGAAGTTTCATTACTCAAGTCTGAGGTTGTCTTCTCAAGCGGTCAATACTCGTGGCAGTCGTCTCTATTAAAAGGAAATACACTTCCCAACCCACTGTGAAATTTTAAGATAGTAACCAGTAGAAGCTCACTCTAATGGCGGCAAGCAGTCAAAACAGCCTACAGCATTAAATCCGCTCAAAGTTCGAGTTGAATTTCATCATCTTTTTCAATGAGTGAAAGAGAGGAGAGTCATCTTGGCATCCACTACTAGAGAGGGGGGAGGTCGCACACAAGAGCCTGTTCCCTCAGCGTGATGCTTGTTGACCCCTGACATACACTGTTCTGGCTGTTGTCAAGGCAATATCCGATTTATTGTGCGCAAAGTGAGAGAAGGGGAGCGGAAAAATTGCCTCGAACCTCTAAAGGATGAGTTCAATTTTGGTTTTGGAGGATTGCGAGGCAATGTCGTTATGCAGTTTCCATCAGGGATCATATTTAGATATTTGTGGTAGGCAGAGGAAAAGAAGGGAGAAGGGGGGTCGTATTGCGTGCGGAGAAACTTTTCAAACAATGCGCACAATTTTCCCGTTATTGTTTCCGAGGCATTGCGGATGCGCCAAATATTCCCGCTCGAGGGTAAATTTGACAGCGTTTGGAAACTGAATAAATTTGAGATTCATGTGGGGTTTAGCTTAGGCACTGGGCAAAGGTGTAGGGGGTCGTACTAATGCTTCTCCTTCTGGGGATGATACGGGAATGTTAGAGGCTCCGTCTCCCCTTATATCTCCGATGATGAACACTCCATAACTCGGAGAGGCGAGCGTGCGTGATCCATATGAGTGTGGTGGCGGTTGCTTTTGTGACAATGGTGATTGGTTTCGTCCAACAAAATGGGACTTCAGCTGTCTCCAATGAGAACATCCAACGAAAAGCATCCTATGCCAAGCTTTAAGAAAAAAAAGCACTCAGACCCTCTCCATGGTTGTCAGTTAAGACAGTTGTATCGAGTGCAAAATTTCCCTGAGAAAAAAAAGACGCTGAACGTTTTTTTCAGGGATTTTTTCCATCTGCTACCACTGTCAACTTGTCATACTCTGGACAAGCCAAAACTGCAATATACCACCGCAGCTTGCTCTATGGCCAAGGAGAATGAACCACGCCCTTCATCTCCGATATATGACGTACACATAGGTGGCGTTCGGAAAGGGAATTCCCAGTGGAGTCCCGCTAAACATCCAACCATCCCTCATGTGTGGCTTGGTACGAGACTCGTCAGGAAAGACACAATCACTGACTTAAACCTCCTTTTTAATTCTTACTCGGACCACATGCATTCGAATGCCTTCACGTATCTGCAAGAGAATGCGCGGCGCATTTCAAAGAGGGATGGGCCAAGCGAATCCCTTTCTTTCAGAACAGCGCCGAAAATTGTGGCATCTGGAGGGGTTCAGGCATGCTGATATCTTACCAGTGAGGTCACCTGTCTTCATTTTTACAGTCACTAACTGCGACAAAATTTGTTTTTTTGTTGCCACAGATTTCTCTTGGGGCGTTTTAGCCATCGGCATGGGATGGGGGTCGTGTAAGCCTCCCGTTGGGTCAGCCCTTCATGAACGCAGCAAGGACCCCGCAGCGGTCTTTCATCTACGAGCTGCGGGGCTAAGCAGGAAGCATATCCACTGACGATACTGCGCCGTTCTGCTGATCGTGAAGATTGCCTTCAAAGGCCAAGTTCATGAATTACCCACTGAATCACCGAATTTAGAAAAGTTGAATTATTGGGTGGACTTTGGAAATAAGTTCGCAGCCAAAAATCAGCGCGTCCGAAACGGCATTAGCCATCGCCAACCGCCATCCATGCAAACGTCATGGGTATGTCACATTCCCATGAGCGGACTGCCTTTTCTATTCTTACCCATCAGACACATTTACATATATCGGTGCGGTGCCACGGGCTGAAGCGAGGCAACCAGCGGCAAGTTGGACAGAACACGCCCAACTCCATCTAATCCCTTCATAATAGTGGTAACAAGTATAGTAGTAGTCAATACAGTATACCCAATAGACCGAAATTCTCAAGACATTTGGTAGGGCTGCATTCATACTTTGCGGCAGGAACCACAAGCATTTCAAGTTACTGACTGGGAAGGTATACAGGGGGACCAAAAAAAAGTCACTTTTCTTCCTTGACTTTCGAGGCGCTATAAGTTACACTTTATTAAATTCTGATCGGACATTTCCACCATATTAAAGAGCATATTAAATACTATTATGATACTCCGCCACAGCCTTCTGGAGGAGCGCCATCGAGAGATTCTGCCGCGCTACCGTAAGTCGGTGAGTGACGGAGAAATCAACTATCTCGCTGAGTTCAGCGAGATAGTTGATTTCTCCGCCACTGTAGACCACCCTGTTGAGCTCCGCCCGAACCGGGTAATTGAGGGGTTTAGGTCAGGTGACACACTTAGATATTCCATCTTCTTCAGGTACTCAACGCCCTTCCATTCC